AGACTATTTTGACGATAATATAGTCATCTCAAGATACAATTTAATTATAAACTGTCAATTTTATTTGCATATTGTATAAATTTTGCCCATCTTAAATTAAAAATTAATCTATCGTCGAAATATGTACGGCAAGAATATCGAATGCGTGACACCGTGATTTCTATGATGACGAACCATCGAATAAAACGCGAAGTTGACCCTGATATCACCGTGTTTGAAAAACCAGCGTGACGATGGCCTTCTATACACACACACACACATACACACACACACATACGAGGCACGAAACCGCATCAGAGGCGCGTGACGAGGTGAGAAAACTGTTGTGGAAGAAGAGGATAGAGATACGTAGAAAGAAAGGAAAAAAAAGAAGAGGAGAGAGGAAGAAAGAAACGAGCAAGAGAGACGAAGAAGACTTAGCGACCGACCCCGAGAAGCACGGAGACCAAGAAGAGGTGTGCACCTCGCCCCTTCTTCTTAAATCGTGTGCAATCACCTTTTTCGGCGTCAAACAAACGCCGTGTGTTATTATGCCGCTTCTAATGCCAGCGGCATTATATCAGTGGTGAAAGAGGATGAAAGGGGAGAATTGTAAAAAAAGTAAAAAAAGAAAAAAAAGAAAACGAGAAAAAATGGAAACGCGATGATCTCTCGCCATCCTTTTCAACGATACTTTCTTCCTCCTTTGTTCGAAAATTCAATTTATAAAACACGATGAATTAAAAATTAGTGCTGGAATTCGTATTGCAATGAAATGATCGATAACAGAACGATCAATCTTGATCGTCGAAAAGCGAACTAGATATACGAATCAGCATAATTTACGAAAAAATTTGAACGAAATATTACATACTGGTTGTACAAATTATACAAAGGTATATATATTATTATTCGCGACATTAAACGCGTTTTCTAAAAAAAATTAACGAAAAAAAATATTTGCAAAATATTCAGGGACGAAGTATCGCATAGACAAAAAATGCAGAAAAACGCAAATGATATTGGAAACGGTAGAGGCATGCAATTAACAATGTGCGCGCAGGTTAGGTTAGGTTGCACGATACATATATTCATCATAGGAGTGGATCGGAGTGCGCTGAAAGGGTGCGTAGAATCCGCAAAGAGGACGGAAGACGAGAGGAGAGACGACGCATGGAGGCCGACAAAACGAAATGTTTGGCCGGGGAAGAAGAAGCCGGTATAATGGATATCTTTATTATCGGAGGGAGAGGTAAAGTCGATGGGAGACAGACCAAAGTGGTCGTAGTAACGTCCCAACGACGACGTTCCGCTATACCAGAACTTCGCTCCAATTGGTCCACCCTCCCCCCCTCCATAATAAATATTGATGAAAACGATACATTTATACACGAACGACAAGTCCGTCCGCGGAGAAAAAGCAAAGAGATTTATTGGGACGCGGCCTCGCGACGACAGCCATTTCTGCGCCGATCATACATCAAGCAGAGCCTTCAGGCCAATTCCGATGCCAGGAGAGCCGATGCTCGTGAGATTCCTGTTTCTAGATCGATTCGATATTCGTTAAGAGAGTGTCGTTCCACCCAGATTTTTCTTTTCGAGACCAGGCTCGATTCTCCTCTCTCTCTTTCTTTCGTTCTAACCTCCGCTTTCTCTCTTTCTCTATTTCGCTTCTCGCTTCTCCTCCTTGCTTTTCCTTTCCATCGGATGAATGAAAAGTAACAATAGTAAAGTAGATAATAAAGAAGATATGTGTAGTTTTCTAAGACAAGAAAAATTGTAACAAATTCATATTCGCGATGAATTTTGATGATTAAAAAAAAATATATATTCGATTAAATTCGACGGGCAAAATTACTACTAGAGGAACGGATAAACGAAAATAAGTTGTCGATTGCGTTTAGAGAAGCATTTCTTTTATTTCACTTGCGAGCATGTTTTATAAGCATCATTAGAACCGGTTCCCTCGAACACGTGGCGTCGAACGAAACTCACCAAGAAATTATTTAAGACCTCAGTGTCTCGCTAATTTAATAGCGAGGCGTATCACAAAAAGAATATTTAGAGAGAAAGGACGGTGCGAGCAAAATCAACTACTACATGCGTTAAATTTGATTTACGGGCAGCGATAATGTATCAGTTAATGTATCACGACTGATAATCGTGCAGAACGATTTGGATCTCCATATTTTAATATTTCAATGTTTCATTTTTTTTTACTTAATTTGAAAATTATAATTTTTGAAAAAACAAATTCATCATATAATAGTGTACTTGCTTAAAAATATAATTAATTAAAACGTATTAACGAGAAAAGTTTTTTTTTTTTTTACATATTTATATTATTATTCTCTTGCTATTATTATTTCAATTACAACATTAAATTTTACTTTTTTTGATTTTCAAAAAGGAGAAAATTGTTGAAACGTTTATATTAATAATACACAGTTTTCATAAGATACAATACAAATATACGTTATATGTGTGTTAAAAATTCTGTTACATTATCTTCTGTAAATATATATATATATCAATGATATCGATTACGATGCAACCGATCACCTCACCGAGAATGTTTTCTTACGTGAGGATCCCTGAACAAGCAGGGGACCAAGTCCCTTTATTGGATTTAGTCCCCTAATGATTTTGTCAACCCGAGACGAAAAGAACCTGCTAACATTCCGTTGTGACTCGTTCTGCATTCGAATTTGGCGCTGTAACCACGCTTCGGTTAACCGACGGGGATCCCCTCGTAAATTACGGTTCGCGGATTGTAACGCACAATCTAACGCAATTATCCGCGAGAAATAGCTGACAGGGAAATAATTTCTTTAACGTCGTTTAATTTAGTATTGAATTATGATTTTCTTATCCACCACTCTTTTTATGAATCATTTATTGTTAAACATAATATTATAGTATTTTTAAAAAAATACTTTTCTTTTTTTTTTTTTTTTTCGTTTGAAAAAAACTATGTTCACATTTTCAAATCAATTTCTTAAGAATAAATATTCTTGTTTACAAAGTGTAATTCAATTTTTTATATTTTAATACTAAAGTTTATTTTTAGTATTAAGTACTTTAATACTAAAATAATTTTTATGATTCTTGTATGACTTCATTTTTTATTATTAAATTTTTTTATATTCAAATTTATCGATTACTATTTATTATATACGATTAATTATTATTTACTTCAAAAAATAAAAAAAGTGCAATTTTTATTGTTATAAGAAAAACGTATCAAAATACAAATGCCCAATTATTTCTTCGAGTAATACACGAAAAGAATATTAGTTCTCTCGCTATTACGTGAAACTAATAAATCTTTCACGCGATAGATACATACGTATCGTTCCTTTCTTGTACAGTGATCTTTCGTCGTTCCAAGAATGGAACCCTCGATCATACACCATTAATTATCAACATAATGCATGAGGATTAGGTTTTTCTGAAGCATGGACTGCCAAAAACGTACGTGCGCCTGATGCATCTCCTCACGTCACAGGATGTCAACTTTAAATGGAAATGTCTTAATTATCAGAGCACGTAGCGGCCAACAAAAAACATTATCCACTCCTGAATCGTTCCATAGCGACGCTGTGTTCACGATGAAATATTTTCATATGAAGAAGGCAGAACGTTTGAAATTGGTGACATTTAGATAAGTAAACGAACGATTCCTCAAGATATATGTACGTATCTAAATAAATATATGGATGTGTAAAATTACTGGTATTAAAAAGGAATTCAATTTTGCGATATCTTATTTTTTTAAAAAATAATATATATTTTTTTAAAAATTAGAAAATCCGATAGTTATTCATCGTACATGATATAAAATAAATAATAATGAATGTAAAAAAATTAGGGATAAAATATATAAGAGAAAAAAATAAATTTTAATGAATTACAAATTCTACTCTTAAATGTAAAAAAAAATTAATGAGAGACAAGAAAAAAAGAATGAATTTTTTCATGAACATTAATTGTTCTTCTTTTTTCGTAATTTAAATCGTTATTTAATTGAATATAAATATAATATTTCCATTGTATATGTGTATTCCTTATATATACATATACATATATAAATTTTCAAAAAAACTTGGTTTGATAGATTTTACATAAATATTTATATTCGAAAAATAAATAATATATATAAATAATTCAATTTTGTTATATATTTTATATTTAAACGTATTAGTTCACATTCATACGTACATATATTGTAAATACTTATTGGCTTTCATATAAACTTACTATTCGTTTTCATATGCACAAAGTATGTCATACATACATGCATATCAAAAAAAAATTCACATCTGGTTCAGTGTTACCACCATTAAGATATATACATTACATACATAATATACATTATGTATTTTCAATATATTCAATTAATTGTCTAATATAAGATAATCTTTTCAATTTCAATAATCAATTTTGATTATTTTCTTCTCTATTTTGCATAAAATTCATTATTTTTAATTTCAATTTTAATTATTTACATATCATATTTATACATAATATAAAAATGCAAAATGTATTTAAATTTATAAAATATTAATTTATATTTATATTTTATATTTTTTCTAAAATTAACTTTACTACACTTGTAAGACATGAAATGAATATGTAATAAATATGTAATAAAAAATATTTAATTAAATATTAAAATGGTTTTATCAAAATAATAGTTACACAGTTTTAATAATATCATATTATTGATTTTTATCAAAAATATTACTTTAATCAAATTTTAATTTAAGAACTTCACTTAAATTCATTAATATTTTTGAGAAAAACATTAAAAAAAAAATTTATTGTGATATAAAATTCCGCATATTTCAATAAAATGTGCTCAAATATAAAAATAACTTTTTTTGAATTATATCTAGCGATTGGTTAATTTGTTCCAATATATTTGTATGAATATATTCGTATTATCTGTACAAAAAACATTAACTACTTTTTTGGAACGACAAGAATTAACCAATGGTTGTTTCTACTTCTTGCGCAGGTGCTGCGTGCGTAGTCAATGCGAATAAACCTAATGTCGACCGACGTGGATAGACGAACAGCGAGTAGCACGACGTGCAAATTAATATTGCGCAAAGTTAAAAATTTAATTTATGGTTATTTATTTATACTATTAATTATATTACATTAATATGTGACACACAAAAAAATGATAACGGTTGAAGATCTGCAATTTGCAGCAAAAATGAATATATTATAAACACTTGCAGTATCCTTTTTGAATCAGCTGTCATAAGCAGACGATACACAGGTAAAGTTCATTCTTTCGTTTATTAATTTTAACTTTCTTCAATAAGAATATAATTTTTAATTATTTTTACAAAAGTCATATATTGTATATTTTCATTCTAATTTTCTTGTTTTTTTTTTATCTTATCTTTAATTATTTTTAAATAATTGTTTGAAACATTAATATCATAAACTTTATATATTATTTTTTATTTAATAAAAATTTAATTTCAAATATTATTATACATACAATTTCAAATATTATTATTATATGTTTTATTTTTTTAATATTTCAGTATCTAATGCTATTTGTTTGACTATAAGGTCATGGAATTAATTGAAACTAGTGTACAAATAAGAGATTGTTCTATAGACTTTATTCCTGTTTACATTAAACAAGAGAATGATGAACATGAAACAGATTTCAATGATATTGAAATAATCAATGCAGCTCAAAATTTCTGTGCTATTGAAATTAAAGAAAGCAAAGGATATACAATTAATAACAATGAAGAATCAATTGTAAATAGTGAAAATTGTACACAAAATACAAATAATTTAAACAATTCGAATTCAACATCAAATATTATACGACAAAATGAAAGTTGTAATATAAATGGTATTTTAAATAGTTCAGTATATTTGCAAAATTTAGATTATGAAAATATAAATATAGAAATACAAAAACCAACAAATCAAATAGGTGATATTTTTATTGATCAAAATGAGCAAATACAAACAAGCAATTATAATATTTCAACAGTTACTATATCAAGTGATCTTTTAGGACTAAATCTTAATATAAAAAAGGAAAATGAACTAGATCAGGACACAGTTTACAATACAGAATGGTTATGCAATGTGAATAATGAAACTGATATTCGATTGAAAGTTTCAAAAAATACCAAAGACAAAATTCAAGAGGTTCCTACTAATATTAATGATACGATAACATTATTGACAAAACATAAAGATCAATTATCAGAAAATGATAATAATTTGAAAATTAAGGAAACTAAATCTGAGAAACTTAAAAAACAATTAAAAATAAAATCAAATTCTTTACAAGATTATAAAGAGAAGTTGCGAAGAAAAGCAGAGTGTATGAGAGAAAAAAGAAAAAAATTGTATGAGCAAGAAACTGAAGAACAACGTCAACAAAGATTAGCAAAAGAAGCAGCAAAAAGAAGAGAAATGAGAATGTACTATGAAACACCCGAACAAAGAAGAAAAAGATTAGATGCAGAAGCTGCAAGAAAAAGAGAGTACAGAATGTATAATGAAACACCTGAAGACAGAAGGAAAAGGTTAGATCGTGAAGCAGAAAGAAGAAGAATGAAAAGGCTTTCGTTATATGCTAGTGAAACTCCTGAACAAAGAAGAGAGAGATTAAATAGAGAATCAGCAAAAAGAAGAGAAGCTAGACTTAATCAATATGCTAAAGAAACGCAAGAAGAAAGAAAAGAGAGATTAAAGAGGGATGCTTTAAGAGTTAGAGAAATGAGATTTACTAGATCTGCTATTGAAACAGAAGAGGAGCGTAAACAAAGGTTAGTAAAAGATGCTCTTCGAAAAAGGGAGGTAAGAATGCATGGACGTCATTCAGTGAATAATAATTTCACTGAACTCCAAACTGTTCGAAATTTTGAAGAATTAAACAATGTTCAGATAAAGGAGAATCCTGATAATCAATTGGGAGGTCATTACTTGAGTAACTGGATGATGTGGTTCCAAAATTCGTTAGTCCAACCTGTTCATGTTGGAGAACAAATCATCAAATCTCAATCAGAAAATAATGGATAAAAAATTTCTATGATAAATTTTTAACATTGTATATATTATTTCATCATAAGAATACATGGAACAAAATACTATTTCAATAGTGTATAAAAATTTGTATATATTATTTATATAATATTTATGCTTGTAATAGCAATTGTAATAACAAAATATTCTATAATCATTGCATCAACATAATGTTTATCATGTTTCACATATTGAATAATAATTTTTCTACACTGTGCAGTTTTATTCATATTTATATATTTTACAATTAAATATAATTATTTTATTATATATTGTTAAGAATTGCCATGTAAAAAAACTTGTTATTTAATATATTTATTAATATAGAAGAAAATTTAATAAGTAATATATAATATAAATATTTGAAATATTTAATATTATTGAATTTTGTATTATAATAATTAAAAAGTATTTAAAAGTTTTTTGCTACTTTGAAAAATGTATAATAAAATTATTATAATGTTACTAATATTATTTGATATAAATAAGAAAAAAAAGGCATTAAAATTGTAGAAAATTAGAATTATACATTATGGAATCATCTTGTACATCTTAATAGTGCCTTTTTGTTCACTGTTCTACAAAAGCAATTTCTAATGTGATTTAAACAATTTATACATGTGTATATATATATATATCATTTGAATATGAATAATACATTTCTTAAAATATATGTAATAATGTATGTATATATGTAATAATGTACATTGCCATGTAATTTTTCTTACAGTTCCTTTATATGGAATAAAATAAATAATATGTTATCATATAATTTTGTTTATTTTATTTATTTAAATTAATAGTTTTCTCAAATTTTTTTCTTCATTTTTATATTATATATCTAATAAAATTAATATTGATAAAAAAAAGGAATAATTAATTTATTTTTTAGTAAAATAATAATAGTATCTCATTAATTATTACTATTTATTAATTATTAAATCTATAAATTGATATTAACTTTAAAATATTATTTCAACATAAAAAATATATAAAAAGTTTTATTGACATTTATATCTCATTTATAATCACACACCAAGATCAAATATAATATAAACAAGGAAAGAAAATAATAAAAAAAGAATAGAGATAAATTAAAATCAGAAATCAATACTGCAAATGAAACAGATAAAAAAAGACAGAAAATAATGGGAGAATAATAGAGATAAGATAAAAATCCTTAATCTTTACCACTATCTTTCAAATGTTAAAAATAAAGATTTTTCTTAAAGATAAAATAAAATAAAATGATTAGCATTATCTCCAATGAGTTTAAAAGTATGATTTTTTGACTTACAACAATGTTTTTGACATTTTAATAAAATTAAAGTTGATAAAATGATAATGAGACACATAAATAAATAATTAATGAAAAAAATTTTCAAATTTATATGAGAAACTTGCCTGAAACTCTAACTAAAAAAAGCTTAAAAATATTGAAATTTTGATTAGAAAACGAATAAAATTAATTAATTTTCCAAATAGCAAGTGAAATCTTCAAAATGATGGAAAATATCCTTTCTCTTTTTTCTCGCATAATGTTTTATTATCTGTAACTTCGAATGTTTTTTGCATATTCTATAATAACAAATTAAGATTTATGTTTAAACGCGAGATGGGGCTGATTTCGAAAAATTTTTGATCGTTATTACTTATCAAAAACTTATTATTTCAAAAAATTGTTTCAGAAGCATTCAAGAGATAGCGCTGATCTCTTTTTATCCAATTTCTAGTAAACACCAACCACGTGAATTCATAACCTATATTATAAAATGTATTAACTTAAAACTATATGTATGTAAACTACACTAACTGTAATTTTAAAATTAAATAATTATTTTAAACAATTAATTATTATTTTATAACAATTCTTGTTATATATAAAAATTATGAGATATATATTATAGAATAAATAAAAATAAATAAATATTTTTTTTACCATTTCATGTAGTTTTATAAATAAAATTTATGTTTATTATTTAATATAATTAATAAAGAAAAAATGGGTGTAACAAAACAATATTTAAGATATGTACCAGCTGGAAATTTAAATATAATTGTTAGTCCTACTTGTAATGTTGTTTTTGTAAAATTAGAAGATCATGAAGGTAGATTTGTAGCAGTTGGAGCATGTGAACATGTTTTTATATGGGATTTACGTTTAGGAGAAAAGGTAAAATATTTATTAATTTTGTTATAATAGGATATAATTATTCTAATTTTTAGGTTCGAGTATTATCGGGTGATAAAGTAAATGTAACATATTTAGCTGCATCTCCTAATAAACAACATGTAGCAGTTGGTTATGCAGATGGTACTATAAAAACATTTGACTTGAAAACAGGTGAAAATGTAAGCATATTTGTAGGCCATAGATCTGAAATTACAACATTGAGATATGATAGAGAAGGACATAGATTGGCTTCAGGTTCAAAGGTAAGAATTTGATAGAGAAAATAAAACATATAAAATATTATTTTTTAATTACTTTTTTTTAGGATACAGATATTATTCTTTGGGATGTTGTAGCTGAAATTGGAATATGTCGATTAACTGGACATAAAGGTGTAATAACTAATTTAGCATTTATGAAAGATCATAATGTAATTATTAGTTGCAGTAAAGATACATTTGTAAAATTTTGGGATTTAGACACAGAACATAATTTTAGAACTCTTGTTGGTCATAGAACAGAGGTAAATAGATATAATAAATATATTAATATATAATTAATAATAAATAATAATAATAAGAATAATAATATTATTTTATTTTTTAAGGTTTGGAGTTTAGTATTAGTTAAAAATGATCAATATTTAATAACCGGTTGTAATGACAATGAATTACATATATGGAAAATATCTTTTATTGAAAGTGATAGTATAGATTTTGATGTTAATTTACACAATTTAACTCTCACTGATGATACTGAAGTTAGCGATGTGGTATAATGTTTAATTAATTTATATTTATATCTGAAATATATTTATTATATTAATATTTAATAAAAATTTTATATATTAATAGAAACATCCTTTAAGATGTGAAAAAGTAGGCAGTATTTTAAGAAGTGGACATGGAAGAGTTGTGTCTCTTGAAGTTGATAATACTTATACTATTATTGGATGTTATGGTTTAGACAATACTGTAGAATTATTTCAATTATTACCTGATTCTAGAATAAAAGATAATGTTCTTAAACGATTACGTAAAGAAAGAAAGAAAGCTGAAAAGTATGTAAAGATATTTTTCTAATATTTATAAAAATTAAAAATTTTTTAAATTTTAAATATTTCTTTATTATGCTATTTTATATTGCTATTCTTCATTATACTATTTAATATTGCTATTCTTTGTTATGTTACTTAATATGTCTATTTCTATTAAATAGAAGTGGAAAAGATATAGAAGCAAATTTCTCAGGAACGTCAACTATAAAAGATGAAATCATTCGTTTACATCCTATTAAAGTATCTGCCAAAATTAAAGGATTATCTATAATAATGGGTAGAAATGGTGAACTTAGAGTATGTTACAATAAAAATTTTTATTTTTTCTTTTCAAAAATTCAAAAATGATACTTATTTAATTTTTATTTGTTATTATTTTAGATATCCATAGGATTGAATAATAATTCCATTGATTTATATTCCTTATTCATAAAAAAGAAAGATGAAATAAAACATTTAAGATCAATAACAAATCATGGTCACCGCTCAGAAGTCCGTGCCGTTTGTTTTAGTTCTGATAATTTAGCTTTTGCTACAGCTAGTGGTGATTCTGTGAAATTATGGAATAGGTATATAGATAAAATCGATAAAATTTATAACATTTTCATATTGATTTCTATAATTTTAGACCAACTTTAGCCTGTTTACGTACTGTAGAATGTAGTTATGCTTTAACAGCAATATTTGTACCCGGGGATAGACATTTAATTGTTGGTTTAAAAGATGGTAAAATGTTAATTATTGATATCGCATCAGGTGATATTTTAGAGGAAATATCTGCACATTCTAAAGAACTTTGGAGTATTGCATTATTACCTGATAAAGTAATATAAATATTTTTTACTATTTATAATATAAAATATAAATTTCATTTTAATATATAATTATTTTACACATTTTTATAGAAAGGAGTGACTAGTGGTGGTGGAGATCAAACAGTAAAATTTTGGAATTTTGAACTTATTCAAGATCCTGATAAAGAAATAAAAGCAAAAATTTTATCTGTTTTACACTTAAGAACTTTAAAATTAGAAGATACTGTATTATGTGTAAGAATAAGTCCTAATAATAGATTTGTTGCAGTTGCATTACTTGACTCTACTGTAAAAATTTTTTTTCTTGATACATTTAAGGTAATTATATGAATATATTTTTCACATTCACAATCATAATGCAATATGTTTAAAATTTTCGCAATATCATTTTAGTTTTTTATTTCTCTTTATGGACATAAATTACCAGTTTTATGTATGGATATATCGAGTGATTCAACACTTATTGCTACTGGTTCTGCAGATCGAAATATAAAAATTGGGGTTTAGATTTTGGAGATTGTCATAAATCAATTTTTGCTCATGATGACTCTGTAACCGGACTTTCATTTGTACCTGGTACACATTATATTTTTACTTGTGGAAAAGATGGCAAAGTAAAACAATGGGATGCCGATATCTTCCAAAAAATTGTGACATTACAAGTAATTATTTTTAATTGTAAATTTTAATTGTATAGATAAACAACAATTGTAATAATAATAAATAAAATTTTTCTATCTAGGGACATGCAGGTAAAGCATGGAATTGTACTGTTTCGCCGAATGGAATATATGTTGTTTCTTGTGGATCTGATAAAGTTGTTAGACTTTATGAACGATCATTAGAACCTTTAGTTCTTCAAGATGAAGAAGAAGAAGAAAGAGAACATCAAGAAAATGAATTAGCTACTGGAGAAAGTACTGTTGTCCCAGGGCAAAAACAACAATCTTTGCCATCAAGAAAAACAGTATCCAGTGAAAAAGGGGTAATATCAATAAATCATATAAAATTGCTTAATTTAAATCATAAAATTTAATTAATATATTTAGGCTGAATTGATACTGGAATGTCTTGATATATCTAAAGAATATAATGAACAATTATCAAAAGCTACAATAGATAAAGCACCTGTTATTCCTTTACAAATGCAAGCTTATAATTGTACAAATACAGAAGATTATTTATTAGAAATAATTAAACAAATTAGAGGAAGGTAAAAAATATATATATATTTAGCACAATTACAATATAAATATAAATTAATTAATAAATTAATTTTAGCGATTTAGAAGAATCATTACTATTATTACCTTACTCGGCTGCTTGTGAAATTCTTAAAATGCTTCCTAAATTATTAGAATCAAATTATCACACGGAATTAATTGCAAAACTAGCATTATGTTTAATACAAGCTCATCATGGTCCAATTATAGCTACTCAAGAACTTTTACCTATTTTAGAAATTGTGAAAACACTTACTATTAAAAAAGTTTCTGATCTAAGAGTAAAAAAACATTTGTATTTTATAAATTATTCACAAATAATTTTATAAACAATATTAATTAAAAATTAATACTTATAGGATATAATTGGATTTAATTTACATGGAATGATGCATATACAACGAATTATTGAAGAGAAAGAAGGAATACAGTTTTTCAAAGATGCAACTCAAAACAATAAACATAAAAATAAAGTCAAAAAAAATAAAGAAAAGGCATTAA